GACACCCACATTAGTCACCCAGCACCCAGAGGTTTCTTTGGCCCAAGGAGCTGCAGCGCCAGGCAGGGCAGAGCAGCAGACACATCCCCAGCCATGCACCCCAACACAGGGCACCTGGGACCTTGCTGCGGTTCGAGTGCGGGGTGCACGGTGCGGCAGGCTTTGCTGCCTGGAATTGAGGGCTACTTGCCTACTGAAAAAAGAAAGAAATTCAAAGTGAACCAGGCTCTGACATCCGTCTGCTTTCGGGAGCCTGAGGCCCAGTGCTGCACGGTGATCCGTGGGGCCCGGGGAACTGGCCGTCAGGACACACAGGGTGGCAGGCCCAGGAGCCAGCACCTGCCAGTAAACAGCCTGGCCGAGAAGGCAGAGACGTGGGCCCCAGGCTGCGTCCTTCCGTCCAGCCGGAAGGTCCTGGCACAGGGGATCCGGCCTCCCATGCCTGGCAGCGAGCGCCTGCCTAGCCTGCTGTCAGGAGCACGCGCTCGACACCGGCGCCGAGCCTGGGCCCCCAGGGGCCCGCAGCACGCGGCCTGTGCACCTGCACAAACGCAGGCAGGTGCTCGGCCGGCACAGCATGGCACCACCGCGGCGCGCCTGCTCTCACTGACGTCGTCGGTTCACGCCTGGTCCAGCACCGGTCTGCAGGCGCGGTGCAGGGGCGGGCCCTGGGGACGTGGAATGAGGTGGCACCGTGACTGCTGGGGCCCCCAGCGGGGGTCGCCCGCAGGGACGATCTAGGAACGTGGCTGGAGTCCCCTGGGCAGGAGATGCCTCCTCGCCTCATCTCACCGGACTCGGCTCCCCATCCCCGCAGCAGGCCACACGCATCTCTCCCGCTGCCCACGAGTCTCGGTCCATTGGGCTGCGCAGTGGGACACCACGGTCTGTGTGGCTCAGAAGCCATGGCGTTCACATCTCTCAGCCCCTGCGGGAGTCGGTGCCCCTCGCAGGGTCCCCGTGTTGGGGCAGAGCGAGGCAGCTCCCTGGGCCTCCTTCCTGAGACCCCAACCCTATTCCTGAGGCTCTGACCGCCCTCCCCGAAGCCCCCGCCTCCTGGGCCTCAGCCTGCCCAGCCCCTCCAGCAGCAGGCACTCGGGGACGCCTCCCAGTGGACGCTGGGGGACCGGGCACTCAGGGACGCCTCCCAGTGGACGCTGGGGACTGGGCACTCGGGGACGCCTCCCAGTGGACGCTGGGGGACTGGGCACTCGGGGACGCCTCCCAGTGGACGCTGGGGGACTGGGCACTCGGGGACACTTCCCAGTGGACACTGGGGGACTGGGCACTCGGGGACACCTCCCAGTGGATGCTGGGGGACTGGGCACTTGGAGACGCCTCCCAGTGGATGCTGGGTGGGGCCCATGCTCCACACCTGCAGGACACCCCGTCACCACGCACAGGGCAAGCGCGGGGCAGGACACTGGATTCTGTCTCTGCTGCACCCACCACCCACAGGCACATGGGGTCTGCTCAGAAGCACGCCAGGGGCCGCACCCCAACCCCACCCTGAGCCAGCCATCAGCCCTGGCTGAGGTCAGCTCTCGTGACCCAGGACACAGGAGACTGGCAGAGTCCACTCTGGGGACACACACACACACACACACACACGAGAGCACCCACGTGTGACCTAAGATGCAGGAGACTGGATCAAAATGCTGGGGCGTGGCCGTGGCCGTGGGCACGCAGCGAGCTCACACTCTGCTTCCTGGCTCACCGCGTGGCCTCCCTCCCACAGCAGACCACAGCCCCTGACCCTGCACCGTGAGCCCCCAAACTGAGCCAACCTGCGCCTTCCCCTTCCCGGGAGCTCCTTTAAGTGCACCTGCTGTGCCAACACGACGCAGACTAACACAGGACGGAGGCCTGCACCCGACACAGAACAGAGTCTGCACCCGACACGGGACAGAGACCTGCACCCGACATGGGACAGAGAACTGTACCCGACATGCGACAGAGCCTACACCTGACACACGACGGAGGCCTGCACCAGATATGGGACAGAGCCTACACTCAACATGCAACAGAGGCCTACACCTGACACACGACAGAGGCCTGCACCTGACACAAGACAGAGTCCTGCACCCAACACGGGACAGAGCCTGCACCCGACACGGGACAGAGCCTGCACCAACACATGACAGAGGCCTACCCCTGACACACGACAGAGCCTGCACCCGACACAGGACAGAGCCTGCACCCGACACAGGACAGAGACCTGCACCCGACACGGGACGGAGGCCTGCACCCGACATGGGACAGAGAACTGCACCAACACATGACAGAGGCCTACCCCTGACACACAACAGAGGCCTACCCCTGACACACGACAGAGCCTGCACCCGACACAGGACAGAGCCTGTACCCGACATGGGACAGAGCCTGCACCCCACGTTCCCGCCCCTCCACGGTGCCACAACAAAGCCCCTGCACTGCAGGAGACCCCGGAGCAGGCAGAGGCAGCCCACGCACATTCTGTAAAAGACCAGGGGACTCTGAGGGTTCCCAATCAGAAGACACGGCAACTTCAGGGAGACGCAGGAACAACTGCCTGATTGGATCTTCACACACACATGTCAACCACCACAGGGAACATGGATCACCACACACAGCACATGTCAACCACCACACGTAACATGGATCACCACACACACACGTTAACCACCACATGGATCATCACACACAGCACATGTCAACTACCACACGCACCACACGGATCACCACACACAGCACATGTCAACTACCACACCTACCACATGGATCATCACACACACATGTCAACCACCACACTGATCATCACACACAGTACATGTCAAAACCACCACACACACCACACAGATCATCACACACAGCACATGTCAACCACCACACACACCACAAGGATCATCACACACACATCAACCACCACACGCACCACACGGATCATCACACACAGCACATGTCAACCACCACACGCACCACATGGATCATCACACACAGCACATGTCAACCACCACACGCACCACAAGGATCATCACACACAGCACATGTCAACCACCACATGGATCATCACACACACATGTCAACTACCACATGTACCACATGGATCAGCACACACAGCACACATCAATCACAACACACACCACATGGATCATCACGCACAGCACACGTCAGCCACCATGTGGATCGTCACACGCACATCAGCCACCACACGGATCAGCACACACAGCACATGTCAACCACCACACACACCACACAGATCATCACGCACAGCACACGTGTGTCACCACGTGGATCGTCACACACAGCACGCGTTGATCACCGCACGCGCCACACGAACACGTCAGCCAGTGCTTGTCAACTGCAGACAGTAAACAAACAGAAGACGCAGACGCACGGGGTGACGGGACCAGTTCTGGATTCCGTGCTGGTGGAGGAAGTCACGGCAGGGGACGCCCGGGTGAGCGGGGCCGGGGTCACGTGTGACAGCCGGCGGTGCGGAGCTCTGGGGGGACGGTGAGAGGAGGAGGGTGAACGGCAGCGTGGGTGCAGCCACAGAGCCCGGCCACGGAGGGCACAGCGACCCCGGGAGGTGACACAGCCTGGCTCGGTGCCCTGCACCTCCTCCGATGGTCTGACTGCCGAGAGCAAGCCAGGGAGCAGGCGGCGCGCCTGGAACTCGCCAGACGGGTCCGTGCAGCCTGGGCCTGCGGCTCGCTCGCCCTCCCCAAGCTGCTCTTGGCAACCCGCGCGCCTGTCCTCTCGGTGACCTCAGCAGGCCTGCTGACCGCAACGCACACCCGCCCTGCCCTCGGAGGGCAGGAAATTTCCAACCCCAGACGCGCTGCGGGATCCACGCCTCTCACTTGCCAGGGAGAGCTCTCACCTCCACCGCACTCTCCCCTTACCTCCACCTGGACAGAAGTCAGGGACCGGGTACACGCTCCCGCCAGTGCACCCTGAACACCCTGGCCACGCCGGGCGGGGGTGTGGGGCGTCCTGCTCGCACGGCCTCGGCTTGTCTCCCCGGGCTACGTGTAACCCGGCCCCGGCTTCCTTCCCGGAGAGACGCGGAGAGCCGCTCTACACACAAGGCCCAGCACAGCCCAACACTGAGACTCCCGCTGGCCCCGGAACTCCATCAGGGCAGCGACAGGTCGTCCGCAGGACAAACAGAGCCTGCAGGTGGCCTGGGTGCGGTGGGGAAGGGAGAGCCGCCGGCGGAGGCCAGCGTCTGGGAACACGCCACGGCCACGCGCCCACGGTGGCCGGATCTGCTGAGCTGAAGAACCTGGGGCTGTCTGTGAAGCCTCCTGATTTCTAAACGCTGCCTTGCTTTTTATTTTGAAACCATTTGGTGGACACAGAAGACAGAGTTGCAGGCGAGACGCGGCCATGAACTTGGTGGTCGTGACCAAGGCACTAGAGACGAGCTTCGACCCACGAGATGATGGCCAACTGACCGACCACAGTTCTGGATCTTCAAGTGCGTGCCTCTCTGTTAGTCACCCTCCACCCAGGGTTTCAGGTCTCTCTTCAGCCCTACCTCTCACCCCCACTGGGATACCCCACGGCCACTGTCCCACACACCTGCTTAAATCCTACTCCTTCCTTTGTAAGAATGCTTTAAATTATTTTTCATTTACTTGAGAGGCAGGAAACTCGTGCTCCAAATGCCAGCGGTGGCCACGCCTGGGCTGGGCCAACGCCGGAGCTGGGCACTCGATCCAGCTGTCCCACGTGAGCAGCAGGGACCCGGCCGCTCCAGCCACCACCGCGGACCTGGGAAGCGGAGCCTGGTGCGCTGAGGTGGGGCAGACACCTCAACTGCTCAGCTGGACACTGCCCCCTCCAGAGCTCAGTTCTGGCCGCTGGCCCCGGCAGGAACCTGCACATCGCCCGGTACAGGAAGCCTGCACCAATCTCCCTCGTGCCTGCACCCCGAGAGGCACGCAGGGCGGTGACGCCTGCTCCCTGCGCCAGCCCAGCCCGGAGCCGGCACGCAGCTCCCGCGCACTCACCGCCGAACACGTCTCCGTTCTGGAAGCTCTTCCCCTTCTGGGCCTCCTCGTCGTTCTGAACGGTGGCCACATGCTTGGCGGAGGCACAGCCCATAGTCTCATTCGCTGAGCTTCAGCCGCGCTGAACCGCTGACCATCGCTACAGACAAGCCGGCATCGTCCCCCTCCGGGCACGAGAGGCAGGTCCACCTTGCGGCTGGGTCGGTCCGGCCGGGAGCACCTGCGGGGACACAGGGTGGGGTCAGAACCTGCCGGGCGGGCAGTGCCGCAGCTGCATCCACGCACACCCGGGGCAGCGGGCCAGGACCGGCCTGCGAGCAGAACACAGAGACCCCGCGGGGCACACGGCGGGGAGACGCCAAACCTCGGCTCACTCGCCAGGGAGAACCTGGGTGCCCAGACCTGCCGCACGTGCACGGACGGCGCTCAGGCCTACGGCTCTGAATCTGCACACCTCCAGGGTGGGGCATGTGCATTCCTGGGATGGCCCCCAGCCCTCCCACTCCTCCCCCGACCCTGCGGGCAGCCCCCTGTTCCCCCAGCTTGCACCAAGGGCTGCTGTGCGCAGGGCGGGCTGCAGGAGACCCATCTGTCTGCTTCATGGTTTTGCTGATGTTGGAAGACAAGGGAGGCGACAGGGCAAGGTCTCCAGCTCGCTGTGTCTGCTGCCTGTGGGGCAGCTGAGCGCCTGGAGGCCAGGGCAGGACAGCACGGCCTGAGGCAGAGGGCGCTAGCCCCGGGGAGGCTGAGTGTCCCAGAAAAACCACAAGGTGACAGCCGAAGCCACCTCCTCGTGCCCCACGCAGGCAGGCCCTGGGTTGGCCACACTCAGAGCTGCTGTGTTTGACCCCCACTCCCGGCTCCAGTGCCGTCCCTGCACCCACTGTGTTGGCTCTGCCCTCCCACCCGGCAAAGCCTCCTGCAGAAAGCAGCACCCCCACGCAGGCCCCGGAACCACCAGGGCCTCAGCCGCCCGGTAGCACGGCGGGAAGATCCTTACGCTGGGAACCAGGGACCCCGAGGGCGGAGAGCTTCGCAGGCGCATCTGATCAACCTAACACGGGGCCTCAGACACCGGGCACGGCACGCACCGTCCCTCACTGCAACGCGGCTCCCGGTTCCAGCCTCCGCGTGACAGGGCGGTCTGCAAGGGGGACACACGGCTACAGACGCTCTGGCTGCGCACGCTGGTAGCCTCTTGCTCACTCAGTCTCCCTGGAGCTAGCCGAGATCCAGGCCCGTGGGTGGATGACACATGCCCACACATACGTGCAACCCTGTGCGTGCACACACGTGTGCGCACACATGCACACACACTGTGGGAGCCTTCAGCGCTTGTCTGATGCCCTGGCTGCACCGGTGCAGAGGCTCAGGGGCCCGAGGCGGGAGGGAGGCTAACGCCACAGGTGGACGAGGCAGTGTCGCTGGCCCCGAGATGGAGGATTCCCGGCGGTGTGTGACCACGCAGAATCCAGAAACAGAGGGAGGGGGGAAGCGGTGTATTGTGGGCCTGAAAGGCCGGGCAGGAAGCCACGGGGCTGACGGTCAGCGGGGCAGCCTCCAGGGAGTGCCTAGTTGCACAGGGGGCGGGGCGGGCCTGGCGCCGGGTCAGGGGCCTGGAGGCCGCCTGCTTGTGGCTCTACCCCAGCTGACCACAGATAAACCAAAAACACCAGACACAGCAGCCCCGTGGCCCCGTCTGAACACGCCGAGAGAACACTGGATCAGCACGTGCAGATGCACGCTGCCAACCTGCTGCACACTCGGAGCCTCACGGCACAGTAGGTGCGCGTGTTCACGGTGTCCTCTGGGTTTCAGAAGTTGTGTTGAGGAGCTGGTGCTGTGGCATAGTAGGTTAACCCTCCGCCTACAGTGCCGGCATCCCATATGGGCACCGGTTTGAGTCCCGGCTGCTCCACTTCCCATCCAGCTCCCTGCTGTAGCCTGGGAAAGCAGTGGAAGATGGCCCAAGTCCTTGGGCCCCTGCACCCACATAGGAGACCTGGGGGAAGCTCCTGGCTCCTGGCTTTGGATTGGCGCAGCTCCAACTCTGCGGCCATTTGGGAGTAAACCAGCAGATGGAAGACCTCCCTCTCTCTGCTCCTTCCACCCCCCGTAACTCTGCCTCTGAAACAAATAAACCTTTAAAAAAGAAGTTGGGTTTGGGTTGAGGGGTCTGGCGTTGTCGTGCAACACGTTAACGCCCTGGCGTGTAGTGCCGGCATCCCATATGGGCGCTGGTTCAAGTCCCGGCTGCTCCTCTTCCAATCAGCTCTCTGCTGTGGCCTGGGAGAGCAGCAGAAGATGTCCCAAGTCCTTGGGCCCCTGCACCCACGTGGGAGACCCAGAGGAAGCTCCTGGCTCCTGGCTTTGGATCAGCGCAGCTCCAGCCATTGCAGCCAATCGGGGAGAGAACCAACGGATGGAAGACCTCTCTCTCTCTCTCTCTCTCCCTCTCCCTCTGCCTCTCCTCTCTCTGTGTAACTCTAACTTTCAAATAAATAAATCCTAAAAAAAAAAAAAAGAGTTGGGTTGATATAAAAATCTTCATCTGAATGTAAGACGCTGGAATTGCGGAAGCTGAATACACTGCCGCAGAATAACAAACGCAACACTCAGAATTCCTCCTTTTAAAAGCAGGGTCTGCAACAGGAACAGCCGGCAGGAGGGCTCAGTGACCCAGCAGATTCCACGTGACTGACCGCCAGGTCCAAGGGTGACTCAGCGGATTCTCACCAGCTGTGTGTTTTTAGCAGCACTATCCTCAGTGCGCATTCTCGCCCTGTCAGAGCAGGGCTTGTCCTGAAATGCAGGCTCAGGCTCTCGCAGCAGGACGGGCATTTTAGGAGCCACGTTTCCGGGTTTACAGGAACACGACGGGGAGCAGACATCTGAGAGGCAGCAACCCCGCACCTCAAGCCGCCGGGCAGCGCGGGGCAGCGCACCCTGCACGCCAGCACGGAGCGCCCACCGCGAGGCCCACGCCCGAGCTCTCCTCCGTCCCCACAGGACACAGCGGGCAGACCCGGGGTGCGGGCGGTGCAGCGCTCGGGGCCTGGAAGCCGCGCGCTGGGCCCCGACCACACGGAGCGAGCCTCACCGGGGCCCCGGGAACCACACCTCTGTCCCAGCCCGACTGACCCCGCACCCAGGCTTCCGTGCTGTGGGAGTTTGCTTCCGCAGCCCTGACCCCGGAAGACCTCACCCGGCACCCCTGGAGACGTGAGCTAGTGTGGACGACTCCCCCCACGCCACCCCGGCATTCCACGGCCGTCTCCCCTCCCTGGCTGGCTGCCGAGCGCTCAGCACCCACAGGGCCTCAGCAGGGAGGCGGGGGGAGACACTCCCGCAGACCCGTCACGGCGGCTCGGGGGTCTCATCTCCCCTCTCTCCCGGCAGCAGGCTCCCTCCGAAGCCACAGATCAGAGTGAGGATTACAGCGACGTGGCTCTGTGATGCTGGACGGAGCCCCTCAGGCCAAGTCCCTCGGAGGCTGATGTGTCTGAGCTAATAAGCTATGCCGCAGGACCGTCAGGCACCTGGAACACGGGGCCCAGTTCCTGGTCACAGCGCAGAGGGCAGGGAGGGGCCCGGGCTCCCGCGTCTACGGCCCGAGGCCCAGACGATGCTGGCTGCTCTCACACCTCCCTGACATCCGTCTCCCACCCCTCGTCCCAGGCCGCACGGCAGCACCAAGGCGCCCGTGTCTGGGACCCTGGTCCACCACGTCACCTTCCCGACATCCGTCTCCCACCCCTCGTCCCAGGCTGCGCGGCAGCACCAAGGCTCCCGTGTCTGGGACCCTGGTTCACCACGTCACCTTCCCAACATCCATCTCCCACCCCTCATCCTAGGCCGCGTGGCAGCACCAAGGCGCCCGTGTCTGGGACCCTGGTCACACGTCACTTCCGACAATCGTCTCCACCCTTGTCCAGGC